GATTGAATGCATTACATGGCAGAAGGGCAAAGAGTAGGCAATAGACAGAGAGTGAAAGGGGGTTGAACTTGCCCTTTTATAAGGAACCCACTCCCAAAATAACGGCAGTAATCCACTCTGCCCTGGTGGCCTAATCATCTCTCATTAGTCTCCACCTCCCAACATTGTTACATTGGGGATTAAGTTTCCAATCTGCTTTTCGGAGAGTCACATTCAAACCAGAGCACTGCCTGAGGCAGCTGTGATGTTAACAATTGCCACTGATCATTCTGGTAAATATACCTGGTGTGTTCTAAGCCAGATCAAATAACAGGAAGCCTTATAAGTGAGATGTTCCAAGGAACTATCAGACATGTCAAATAACAGTTATCCGGGAAATGAGTTTGGAGGGGGCCAAACTCTGTTCTTCCCCCTCCACAAGTTGCTAAGTCACTAGTTTTCACTGCAATTATTGTGGTTTTCTAGGCTACCATGGGACAAGGAGAAAAGTAAGGGACTAGGGCAAGTTAAAATGCCAAAAACCTTGCTGTTTTTATCAAGATTCAGCTGGTTTTCTTGAATAAACACTACTCAGATTGTTGCAAGCCCTTAGTTATTTCCAGAGCTCTGAAAAAGTTAATTTTGACAGTGTTCTTATTGATTTTATGGAGGAGAGGATTTTCAGAGATCCTTATTCCACCATTCTGGCTGATGCCACCCCATTAACCTTTATATAATTATTCATTTTACAAATAATTTTCTACATATTTGAGCCCCTCTCCTACTTCACCATCCTCCAAATGGAGCTTATAATTTAACAGTGGGACTCAGATGGAAGCTTTTGAGCCAGCTGCCACAAAACATTATTTAACACTATTAGGCAAATCTAAACCATCTAGTGCAGTACTGCATATATAGGAAAGTGAATATGTGACAGTAATTGTACTCTTTCAATACTTGCCATATCAGTACAGTCTCTCTCTTTCTTTCTTTTTTTTTTTTTTTTTTTGAGGTAATAGTCTCGCTTTGTTGCCCCAGGTAGAGTGCAGTAGCATGATCCTAGCTTACTGCAACCTCAAACTCCTAGGCTCAAGGGATCCTCCTGCCTCAGCCTCCCAGGTTGCTGGGACTACAGGTGGGTGCCACGACGCCCAGCTAGTTCTTCTGTTTTTAGTAGAGATGGGTCTCACTCTTGCTCAGAGCTGGTCTCTAACTTCTGACCTCAAGCAATCCTCCCACCTCAGCCTACCCGAGTGCTAGGATTACAGGCGTGGGCCACTGCTTCTTTTACATGATAAGACTCTCTGGGGCTACTTCATAAAGCCTTCACTGCACAAATACTTGTGTCCTCTAGTGTCCCACTAGTGGTGAGAGAATGGGAGGCTCTCACTCTGCATCGGGCGCAGGGGGCGCTATTGCTACAGAAGCGCAGGAAATGACATGAAGATAGTTCAAATTCCCAAGGTTCTAGTTGTCATCATGACAACATTAAATGCTAATTTACAGATTTAAGAAACTGTCCTAGTTGGAATTGAAAAGGGTTCTTTGGAAGCCTATTTCTATGCCAAAATTAAATTTTTATAACAGGTCATATGAATTACAATACCTTATGAAACTTTATTTTTTTTACACTCTGTAAAATCATTTTAGAGGTGAAGGAAAAGAAAAGGAAAGGAGAGGAGAGGAAATTTAGATACTCCCTTCAGAGACTTTAGTAAAGACCACTTTAGGCCGGGCGCGGTGGCTCACGCCTGTAATCCTAGCTCTCTGGGAGGCCGAGGCGGGCAGATTGTTTGAGCTCAGGAGTTC